GAGAATCAAGAGTGAACAGTCTGGCTTGAAGGTCCGCGCAGAACCCAGTCACCCATCCTCCCAAATCTGACCTTCAGTCTGAGCTTTTAGGCACCTTGTCTCAGTGTCGCTTGCACACTGATCTGCACCACCAGCTACAAAACTGACTTTAAAAATGACGTGTTATTATCTCAGAGTGGCTGCTGCTTATTCACACACATGCTGGCCTTACAGCACTGCTTCTCTTCTGGTCCCACAGTACTCTGCTTTAGTGTGAAGGTGTGTACACTGAAGTGCAACATAAACGATACCATTACTACAACCTTACAGCAGATTCTGGCTGCCACTGCGAGCCCTCTCAGCTATAAATTCTGCTCTTTGCCTACAACTCTTGAATGAGTTGTTGCATTACTTTTCGTTAACCACACAAAGATATCAGACAACTCACTTTGCAACATCACTGAATTTCCAGTGTACGCGGTGCAGTGAACTCTTAATAAACTCACAATTTTATGCTATTTTTAGTAATTACGCAGTTTATAAGTGACTGCGGTCTTGTGTTAAGAGTGACACACAGGGAGGTAATGAGGGAAGGGTCAAATGCAGGTTAAAAAACGTTTGGTACTTTACACAGCATGTATCATCTTGTAATGGAGATAAGAACCCCCCTATTAGTAATATGAAGAAAAACTATGTTAATTAGTAATTGATTTATCGTCTTGGTCATTTTTCAAGCAGAACTGTTAGACATTATCTGGTTCCAGCTTCTCACAACTGTGAGGATTTGCCGCTTTTCTACACCGTATATAATCGTAAACTGAATGTCTTTTGGTTTTAGGTCAAATAAAACAAGCAATGGGAATATATCTCCTTGGGGTGTGAAAAATTAGAACAGACATTTTCCCCTACTTTCTGGCGTTTTTTTTTTTTTTACAACGATTAATCGTGAGAATAATCTGCCCACAGGCAACTACGTAGATTAACTGAATGAGAAAATAATTGTTAATTGCAAGCTTAATTAATATTTAAATAGTGGCACTGGAAACAAAAATCCATTTTTAAAAAGCATGACTTCATTAAACCTTCAACAAGGTGTTTTTAACTGGTTATGAAACAGCCTCAATGTAAACTGATGCCTCTTTATGACCTGCATCAACAAACCTTCAGTCAGGACATTGGCTGTTTCTATACAGTTATTCTTATTGCCTGCCACCGATTCCCCTTGAAATCAATGTAATGAGGCAGTGGAAACACTATCACTTTTGTCCACAGGGGCCGCCAGAGTCAACACTAAGTGAAAGCTGCTTTTAGGGGCTTTAATTAGCAGTTAAATGCAATTTGTGTCTGTCAACACAATTCTCCTCTCTGCCTCATCACCTCATCATCAACATATACTGGAGTTGAGCCCTGTGATATAGTAAGTGAAATTAAAATAGAAATATGTTTACAATAGTATTACTATGTTGTATGGTAAAAATGAACTTCATTAAAGATTCACGTCAGTATCCTGCAGCCAGTAAACTGAGTTTAAGTGGTCCTCAAACAAAAGACAATGTGATAAAGCCTTTCCTCATATCCTACTGTCACTCATAATTATCTCATGAGCTGTCAGCTGATGTATGCAGGTACACAAACAGGTGTGGGAGGTACGTGACCCTGGCATGATCCCAAACTGTCCGATCACATGAAAACCTGACATTTACTACAACAATATTGACATTTAAGCGGATAGGTCCATGAACCCAATTACTGGTGTGCCAGGCTCTATGCAAATAGTGCTATTATTACATAATACATATCTACTGTGCCTTACAGCACAATGGAAGCCCGATACAGCCAAACAAGCAACTCGCTGTAGTTCCTTCAAGTCCGAAAAACTTCTCACAAACATAACTTCTGCAGACTATTTTCCCCATAATCTGTAGTGAAATAAATAAAAACAGCCCGTTAGAGCACATAAAGAGGCACAAGGCAGCAGTGTTTACAATGGCCACATGGTCCCAAGCTACCAACACGTGGCTCATCAGCCCAGAACTGATGTAAACACCACACAGCTCCTACAGCTATACCAACGAGTCACAACGAAATGTAGCACCTGAACGCAACATTTGTCACCACAAGCGCTCAAATATTAACTCAAATAAGGCAAACTGAAGGTTGTGTTCATGTTTATTACGCTGGAATCTGGACTGTAACTTAACAGATAAAGCAACCAGGGTCCGTTAGCGATACAGTGCTGCCTCTGTACGCTGCTGCCCGTGTGAGCCCCGTCTGTGTTCACATCTGTGTTCACATCCGCGGAACACCTCCACATTAAACAATTATTCACGTTTTCTATTTTGATCGCCGTCTGTGATAACGGAGGCTATATACAATACAAACATGATCTTACCAGCAGCAGTGAATAACAGCACATGGAGTTATCCTCGGTTCGCTCGCCGTCAAAAACGTCCTGAATCTGTCTGTCTGTCGCTTTGTGTGTGTACAAAAGCTGTCAAAATCCAAGAATGAACACAGTCACTTTGTGGAGTCTATCTATCGTCTCCCTGCACGTCTCCCACATCCACATGCCCAGCCTCTATTACGTAACACGACGCCTTCAGAGACGCCTTCCCGATCCTTCCACAACCCGCGTTCACGCTGGCCTTTAAACCCGGGACCACAGCACACAACTCAACATAGTAACATAACAGAAGAGGAAATTATACCGTTTCCTGCCCTACAACCTAACAAACAGCGTCAACAACAGTTACAGACACCAATGTATATACCTAATATTTAGTTCTGTGGATATAACTACGTCTGTGTGTCACCATTTGCTCACATTTAATATATAAATGATATTAATGGTGCACTTCTCCTTTCTATCCCGTCGCTGCAGGTCAAAATGTGCCAATTGTGCCTCATTGCTTTATTCAACCAACGTTTTGATATTTCCAATTAAATTTAGCGACGGATGAACGGGCTTAGCGGGGCCCCTGAAGGCAGCACAGGCCACTCCACTCTCCTGTCATATACACTGAGCTAAAAGACCTTTAATCACACGACTCATTTAGATGCTGCTTTACGACACCGCCCCGTGTTCCAGCTCTGAATACATTTCACCACACAAGCAATTACCCTTACTCAACTCATTCTTAAGCAAAGCCTTACAGACAGACGCATACCACCACCACCACCACCGCCTATACTAACGTTACTGTGGGCAGCTACTGAAGATGGCTGTCACTGTCATACAGTATTAGTGTAGTCGCACAGTCGTAAAATGCAAACCTAGAAATGTGTATTTACAGTGGCAAAATCATTCAGTGCAGTGTACAAGTACGCTTAGCATCAAACAGAGTGAGATTTGACGGGGGAAAGCTAGCAGGAAACAAAATGATGGCTACGCATTCTTCCAAATCTGTCGACCTCCTTCCTCTAACGTTAAATATCTGGATCCAGAGGGGAAAATCCGCCCTCTCTGCTATTCTTTCTCTCATCATTTCGCCAACAAAACCACCACACACATTAGAATTAAACTCGTAGACTGAGCTGAAACTCTTACTTGTAGGGTGGTCTCCATAAAATCATGTCTGCTGGCTCACAATCCAGATCCCCGCAGGAATAATCTTATCCGTCATTGCTAGCCTTCCTGGCTAACGCCGCCGGAGATCACCCCAGCTACTGGCTGCCACAGATCCGCCCACACTAACGTTAACGTTACGTCCTCTGCGTAGCTTCACGATTCACAACAGCTCCATACAGCGTGAAGAAGAGTCTGCAACAAATGCATTGGATAGACAAATATAACTTCTCACCGGAGAGTGGGATTAGTTGCGAGCCACTCCCTGACTTTATACGAGAGCTGGCTACCGGCTAGCAGCTAAGAAGTCCCAGTTAGCGTTAGCGTTACCTGGCTAATGTTAGCGCTAACTGGCTAAAACTGAGCCAGTTTTATGTTTGTTGGGGCGTCCGTCCCTACATTAATTATGTAAGTTGATAGTTGAGTTCAACTGTCACATTCCTCATTGTTTGCCATTCTAGTCACAGGTTTATGGATTAATAACACGGCGTTTCCTTACAGGACTCAATGTAGCAGCTTTACTGGCCAAAACAAAGGATGTGAGAGGTCTCCATGGTAACCTTTGTTACCCCAAAATCTAGCGCGCTTCAGGCCGACTACAGGTTTGAGCACAGTGCCTCCCTGTGGACATCTTTATACAGCAACTTTATATAGGACATTCCTCTTCCACGCTTCCAACTCACAGTTAAATGACTTATTCTACACAAATGTGAGAAAAACACACTTTGCCTGTCATAGCGCGAAAAGCACAGGTGTAACTAGTAACATTAATGATGGCTCCATATTGGGATTTTTTTTTGCAGAAAAACACATTACACACATTATTCCAAGTAGACTATTTTTATATGGCGTAACACGTCTGGACGGGATCTTTAATGTTTTTGTTAAACCGAATCCATGGTCACTTCAGTGGATCAGAATTCAGGTTTATTGATACTTCACCAAATGTTTGGAAGATTACATCACAATATTATGTATAGAACCGTATAGCACTTTCATTTCTATGTATCTTACATTGAAAACTTTACAGTCTGCATTTTCTCATTTACTGTATATATATATTTATATATTCCCTTGCTTTAGGGAAGAAAAGTAGACATCCATAGTTGCGAGGGAAGGAATGCTTCTCAAAAAATATTTAAATGCACTTTAAATAATTACATACATCCTTCTTTTAAAAAAAGGCATGGAATAAACTACGAAGGATCCAGGATGCAGAGATTCCAATGTCTCTGTAGATGCGAGTTTTGGTTTCGCTCCGTTCCTGAACCTTTCCGTGGTTGAACTCTACTGTTGAATGTGATACAACACTGATGGGCAATCCAACCATCCAGAGCATGTTGGTACACTGGGCGGTGTTAATACGTGAGCAAGTTGTCTGCAACAGATGTGCAAAAGAGTGTGGAAACCGACGAGCACTGTGTCACCTTACAGGGCCAACTGATGGATTAGTGAAGGGTTTTATGATCCAGCTCTAACTCTGAAGCTAGGAGGAGTTGACTCCATGTAAAGTCCTATAGTGTAAGGCTTACTGGGTCAACACACCAAGGAATGCATGACAGAGGGTCTTTCAACCAACCTTCAATTGTAAACCAGCAATTATCCTGAAAAATTAATCTTATAACAAATTAAAGCAAGTGAGCAAAAATAAATAAGTAAAATCTCATTGACAGGAAAGAAATCCCACAAATGACAGGACGGTTGTGTCACAGAGAGCAGAGACCTCGCAAACAAAGCCACATTATATCTTTGATAGTGTTGTAAGAGGTGCAAATTGTTTTCATCTGCTGCTGAGAATTTCAGTCTCTAACAACAGCAATAACCTGCTACCAAATAACACAGACATAAGAGGGAACATAAACATTAAAGTGACAAACAATGCTTTGGGATGGGCACTGATACATGAGGGTTCAGATATTACAACAGATTTTGATTAGATCACCAAACTCACAATGAGAGCGACACTGATTGTGTCATTTTCTAACAGGCACAGGTGGCCAAAGGAGATTTTCGCAAAGGGCAAATGTAAGGGCAAAGGTTCATCAAATTCAATGGTGTCGTATATTTGCTTTCAGCATGTATATATACTTTTTTCTGTTAAGTATTAAAAAAACAAAACAAACAGAAAAACAAACCATCAAAATCAGGTACAGGGTTTGCAACAATATCAATAAATTATTTGTTTACAGTTCTTTTCTAGTCATTGAAGTTTGAGATGAGAGTCTGGGGGATGATGAATGACTACAGTCAGCAGAGAGTGCTGGTCACAGTGCTGTTCATCCCCGAGAGAAAGAAGGAAGGAAGGAAGGGTAGGGTAAAGACTTCTCTACGAGCTGTAGAAAAGCTCAACACTTTAATGCAGAGTCCTGAACTGAGACAGAAAAGCTACAGTCTTTGTCGTCGTCCTCCTGACATTGCAGCCCCTCTGTAATCTGTTCCAGTCCAAAAGAGGGAGGGAAAGTCTCTTATGTGTCCCCTACTCGTCAATGTTCGATGTCCATCATCCGTTTCTCCATTCGTCCCTTCACCTGACCCTGCAACCACCCATTCTAGGAGGCCAGAGTCCGGGCAGACGCCCCCTCTGGAGCAGCGATGTGGAAGACGGAGCCGATGCGCAGGAAGAAGCGCCTGAGGACGGCCCGCAGCTCCGGGATCAGGTCAAACTGCATCATCTCACACAGGTGGGGGTAGTAGCAGGAGGCATGGGGCTTAAACTGGAAACGATAGAGGAAGTGAAAAAATATCAATTAGCACCACGTTTCAACCAACTGATATATACTGCATGTGCTTCAATCCCAGTGAAGTAGGAGACATCTTGTGTCCAGCAGGAAAACTTTAGGAACATTTGCATATTCATAGATTCTGGGATTTGTAATGAGGTAGAAGGAGCAGATTCCTGGAAATTATACATTTTTGTAGAAATATATCAGTCACACATTATTGTTCGTTTATTGTGAGTATATGTATAAGTGTCCTAATATGTGTCTGGAGGTATTCTTTAAGAATATACGTGACAGAGAAAGGAAGGGAGGGAGGTTGCTTTGGGATGTGTGGGCGCTGCTGGGAGGCCGTAGAGTTCACAGCAGGGCCTTAAATTAATATGTTGAGAGGACGTTTTTGGTCTTCACCGATGCTGCTTTTGAGGGCAATTTCATTGAATTATGAAACTGCATTAAGACAAATAAACACATTTTGTAGCATTACAATTTGTTTAAACGATTTAATAACAACCAAAACTTCACAGCAGGCATTGCCCAAGAGAATGGTGCCAGCCAGTCCACTTTAACAATACTGTTGTAATTTTTGTTGATGCAGTGGTTTGTGTGGTATTGGCTTTTTTTTTTGTACAGCTGGCAGCATTGCGCCATCAGTTCCTACTGCTTCAAGCTGCATGCTCGGTTGTTTTCTAACTAAAAACTGCTATAGTTTTGGCCTAAGAGGCCCTGGAAAGTAAAACCTGAGTCATGAGCTCCCATGAATCATCAGTGAGTCATGTATTCACACTGAGAGGGCATGAGTCATAGGTGATGGCTCACAAAAAGTGTTCAGAATCACACAAATATGAAATAAAGAAAAATAAGAGTTATAAGGCTTATCATTTGTAAGTAATGGACATTTGATCAACTTTACATGATTTTTTTTCTCTTTAACTTCTGATCCTGGTTCCACAGTTGGACATAGTTATGATCCAGAGATCCACATTGTTTGTACATATTGGCTTGAGTCCTGAAGCTTATTTTAATTAATGTTATTCTATGAATTAAATTTAAATTTTAAATTTAAATTATTTTTTTATGTAAAGCATGAAGGGACTGCAAACGTTAATTTCGTTATACTACCTTGTGTGGTATAATGATAAATCCATTTCCTTGATTCCTGCCCTGCCATGATCAAACACATGTCTTTTACATATAGAGGCCCTCCCCTTTCAGGGTCCCCCATGGGAAAAAAAAAAAAGTACAGTAGTCAACAGAGAGACAAATTATTTTTTGATCCTGTTTTAATTGCGTCATGAATTATAAATATGATGTTGGTTAATTTTTATAATCACCACAAACTTTTTGGTGTCTGGTCTTTCTAATTCTGTACGTTCAACAGTTTTATGACAAACACCTTATGTGTAATTAATGGCACAATTCAAACTGGATCAAAAAATTATTTGTCATTTTCCTGCTGGCGTTAACTAAACACATACAATATAAAATAAGTCCATGGGAAACACTTGAGGAGGAAGAGAAAATCGCCTCTATATAGTAACATGTATTACTTTAAACGTGTCAGGTGGAAGAATGTCCTGTGTGTGTGTTGGTGTGTTTTTTGCCTTGTCATCACCCACCGTGAGCAGCAGCATCAGCAGGCTGTTCCAAGCCTCTCCGTGGCTCTCTGAGGTCAGACTGATTGAAGTAGGCCAGAGCTCACTACATACCTCTCGTAGAAGACGACCAACACACAAACACACACACACACACACACACAAACCAACAACACCACACACACACACACACACACACACACACACACACACACACAACACACACACACACACACACACACACACACACACACCACACACACACACCACACACACACACAGGATGTATGACAAACGCAACACTCATGTATCTCCAACACCAAAAGGCAGAAGTGTCGGCATCAACAGCTGCCTGTACAAATTTATCATTCTCAGAAAAGAAGGCCAAAGCACACATCCAACAGCAGCTATTTAATGATCGTAATTCTTGATGTAATACATGAGTCAAATCTCCAGTGCAGCTGCTCGCAATAAACACAACAAGGTGATTTGGTACCAGCTCTGCCATGCTAATTATTTACAAAATACACACACACGAGTGTATCACTTCATAAATATTATAAGAGGTATGACCATACGTTCAGAACACTCACTCACTAATGGGGGGAAACAAACAGCCGTGCTGCACTTTCTTGCAAGTGACAAAATGTTTGCTTATTTATCTAAGGTTTGCGGTTAAACCAGACAATCACACACGGCCAGTATTTTCAGGTAGTGGAATGACAGTTAACACTAACCAATAATAAATATATCTACTAACAAGTACTGTGTGTGTATCTAAAGTCTGATATAGCTACTTCCTCTGTGGCACAGAGCTCCATTGTTGTCCAAAAACTATTAAAAACACATCACTAAGCCACACTGTTGTACCAGCTGACATGTTCCTTCGTTCCCATCAACACACACACTGTAGTTTATTTTGACTCGGTCCCACATAAATAGTCCTGCTGCCCTCAAAACTCACTAAGTGCATCAAATCTGTGGCTGAAAATAGTCCCCAACAAATACACTTTCTAGTCCTGTTTCAACAACTGGCCTCATCTCCTGACAAAATGCTGGCCATTATTGTAGCTGTGTCAAAAAATACTTTATGATGATGATGATGTCATATGTTGTACTCACAGCAGCAGGCGTGTCTGGATGTCAGGCCATGAGTCCAGCAGCTGATGGTCAGAGTACATCCTGAACAAAATCCTCAGGCTGCAGGCGAGACTGCTGGTCTCCTGCTTCAAAAGGTTGGGCTTGGATTTGCCTTTAAAGCCTGAGGGCAAAAGAGAGTCAATCATTGATAAACAACAACAACAACAGCAAAACAATAATGTTAGGGTGGCCTGGGGTTTAGGGCGCTGAAAGAACCACATTGTTCCTGGTCCTAGTCAGGCCAAGGACCTCTGTTACATGTCATTCTCTGTCTCTCCTCTCCACTGTAAACTCTCTAATCCAATCAATCAATTTCATGAACTGAAATATCACAGTGGACTTTATATTTACCGGCCCTCCAGAGCGCTGTCCTCTGTTCGTTGTTGGAGTTGAAGTCCTTGGCAAAGGTGTGCGACTCCAGCAGACAGTCCAGCAGCTTGAAGAGGTGTGCAGAGGTCATGTGTCTGTACATACCCTGCTCCGGACCCGCCTCGCCGCCCTCAGCCTCCGACTCTTCCAAAGCATCTCGCTGACAGGAAAAGGACATTTTTAGACAACTTCAGCTAAGTGCATCTGACAATTTAAGACTACACAGGGCCATCCTTTTAAGATTGTCAATGTCCTGACATTGGACATTGACAAAGCATGATCACTTCCCCATAACTCCCATTAGTGAACAGCATTTCAGACAAAGTTAAGTGCAATATATCACTCTCACAACCTTTTCATTTGTTGCTCTGTTTTACAGCTTCGTAACTGTTCCTCAAATATAAATATATAAATAATATAAATATAAGGAAAGGTACTCACAGAATAAATTATGTTGTGACAAAAATCTATCTATATCGTAGTTGTTTTAATCTACCTGGGCAGCAGCCATGTTCTCAGCATCCTCCTTCTTGCTGGTTGCTGGGTAGAAGACAATGTTGTCTATGGTCTGGATTAGTTCAAGCTGTACCACACATTTAATCAGCAGCCCTGCAAACAGCTTCTGGTCCGAAACTCCTTCAAAACAGAAAAAACAGAGGTGTATGGACGTGAGCATTTAAGGGTTAAACTGACTTTGAAAAAGGACAAAAAGCACAGTGACAGTAAAATGTTGCAGTGACAGTATGTGATATAACAGTTTAAATCATTTTTCAGATGGAATTAGAGTTTGCAGTAGGTTTGAATGTATAAACTCACTGGCACTGGACTTGCCCTTCCAGGTGTCATCACTGGACATCTGGCTGTGTCCTCTCTCAGACAGAGCTCTGTCGTAGCTGCTCTGGGACTGGCTGTCAAAATCAGCATCCTGAAGACGCACAGGGACAAACATCAGACATTCACAGGTTAGCGTCATACTTCTGATGTGGTAGAAAGGTTAGTAGGAAATATAACAGTCCTTTTATCAGCTAAAAGCAGTGTATTGTGTTTCAGACCACTGTTGTACACTCTGTAATACTGTTAGTTAATGATTGGAATTTCTTACCAGATGTTTGCCATCCGTAGTTTCCTCGTCCTGTCCTGCCGGTCGCCAAGTCAACAAACTGATGTGAAAAAGGAAACAGAATGATCAGGTGCTGTGCTAACTTCCATCCTGTCACAGCACTAAAGCACAATAGCTTTTGATTACATCATCCTTAATCCCTAAATTTCCCATTACCTTCCCGCTGAGGAAAGTGTGTGTTCTGAAAGCTTTCATTAAGACCTTCACATGCAGTTTCATTAATGTTTCTAAGCTGACTGAATTGGAACTAAATTGACCGAATCTCTGGTTGAAAGTACAGTGGTTCGGGACTTACGCGTGAGGGCTGGTGTTCTGGAAGATCTCCAGCATACAGGAACAGGTGATGTTCCAGACCTCGGAGCTGAACTTCTCCCCGTTCAGGATCACCAAGTTCTCTAAACAGTTTGTCCCCGACCGGGCCAGCTGCTCATTGTCTGTAGAGGGAAAAGGTAACGACTTCAAAACACGTCCGCCACATACAACAGAACCCCATTCCAGCAGCTAAATGTTTGCACTGTGATACTTCAATGCACGCCATTTTTCACTGCTTCATCATTCATATTTTATTGCACAGTTCACATGCCCTGGAGAACAAAATTCTGCTAAAGGTTTTATAAAAATATTGGTGAAGGTAGGTTTGCTAGTAAGGTAGGCACTAGTCCAAATAAAGTGGGAGAGTTAGGCATTCTCTCTTTGCTGAGGAGAGGGTAGTCTTGACTTTTATATACTATATTTATTTGGAACCTGGGGTGAAGCAAAGAGCACTTTAACACCTCACCACCCTAATGGTAAATGTCCACAGGGGCACTTTTGGACTCGAGGGGTCACGCCGCTTCCCAGCATTGGACACTTGTAGTCATATTACCCAACAAAAGGCTACATCCGTTATTATGTAATGGAAATATTATTTACCCAAGAGGGATTAAAAAAGTACTGTTTCTTCTAAATTTGGCCAATTCCACTTTCAATGATGAGCGATTTAGTGGCAACATTTAAGTTATTGTTCTGTTAACATATTAAGGTTCAAATAAGAGTACAACATATTACACATTGTAGCAACTTAATAATGTTATGTAATTTTGAGACATTGGAGGGAGGGTGTTTATGGATAATGTCTGGGTGGGTCACGCTTTTTTAAAAGTGTGATACATATTGTTTCAGCCCCCCAAGACCAGTCATTTTTGTACAGTCTACAGACTACTGTCTACATGAATCTGAACACCCACCTTGCCTGACACACCACTGTAGCTGTGTGAAAATGTCAACCAGCAGGATTTCACTGAGAGGCTCATAAAACTGGGTGAACACGTCACAGATGGCATACAGTGCGTGGTTACATGTTGTCGTCATCCACTCGGTTTTCTGGAAAGAAACAAGAAATGAACATATGCATTCTGTATGTGTACATCACTTATTGTTTTTAAGTGCTTTAAGTGCATCACAAAAGAGGAAATCCTTCAAATATTTAAGTGGCTTGTCAAAACATAAAGAACAACGGGATTCAACAACTTGACCTCTGACCTCTGTCTGCTGCTCAGGGAGCTTCATGTTGTCAAAGATGCGGAAGACGATCCTAAAGAGGTCGTGCCACCAATGCTTCTCAAAGGTGTGACCGTAACTCTTCATGATCTCAAACATAACTGTGAGACCTCTGTTAGAGGAAAAGACAGACAGTTGAGGGATCAGTCGTGTTGTTTCACAGCAAAGAGGGCACAACATGGGATCAATAGTACTATAACATAAGTAAGAGGCTCTAATCCTGCTTCTTTCCATTGTATTGATGTCATCTTTTTAAGTGGTATCTTGCTAAATTTATTTTATTAGTCTACATGCTTGATTTAAAGATTGATAATAATAGAATAGTGTTTAGCATTTAGTATTTGGTCATGTATATTAATACCCAAAAGGCCAGGCGCCAAGCTAGTTAGGGTGTTTGAGGGAACAAGAGTCCAATATAGGTAGAATACTAGGCATAGTCAGAATTCAAAAACAATGAATAGACATAGATGTGCAAAAAACTGAAACTAGTCACCACAGTGAAAGGGACGTTTGAGCTATACTCCATGCTTATCTGTTTGTCTACCTGGTCCGGACATCCAGCTTGCAGCGGTTGATGATACAAGAGAGCTCAAACAGAATGGGAAACCAGCCCCGAACCCACACCCGATCACCAGGGGCAACGTTCATGTCATCACTGGTATATTCCCTCAGAGTCTGGAGGGGGACACAGCAGGACAGGAATTCAGAAAGTGCAATATTATGTCATTACTTCCAAAGAAACGACATAGTGCATTTTTGAAAACGATAGATAAATGCCATAATTAGTATAGCCACAACCCAGCCGCTCCCACCTGTGGCCTCTCTGAGACGTATTTAGCGCAGTGTCGTATGAGTCGGATGGCCTCCATGCTGGTGTCAGGAAAAGCTGCGTTGCACACAAACTCTGACAGGCACTTCACTGCATCTTGGAAGGAATCAATAGCAGCTGCAAAGTGCTGCTGGAAGGTGTTCACTGAGGGAGGAATGACGAAGAGTATGTAATAAAGTAAGAAAACAAAAATGAATTAGTTTCTAATTTGATTTGTTGTTTGTTTAGGGAAATCTCAATTCTCCATCTCTTATAAAAGCTAAAGAATGACTCAGGATCCATCTCACTGACCAACACAACACAAACCTCTGTCACTTGTTATTTATCACCTGAGGAAAGAGCTGCAGTCATACTCACTGACAATGTGCCCAGTGGTCTGGAAGGCCAGCTCCACTATAGTCTCATCATGGTCAGAGGCTGCCTGGTGAAACACTGAGAAGATGTTCTTCCAACCAGAACGGATGTTGGCTGCCTGGGAGTTTACCATCTGAGCTACACACCTGATCACCATGTCTCTGATAGTGGGGGACCTGAGAGGAGGGGAGGGGGTTATTATAACATCAAATAAACAAACAGTCCAACACAATTTACAATGCATCTGGTGTTTTACTGAAAACCACTATTGTCTCCTATATAACAGCTCCAGTGCCCCACTATTCCTAACCACTATTACTCCTATGACCCTGTGTTACCACTGATGCACTGAGAAAGTACAGTCCCTTATTCAATCTGTCCATATTACAATACTCTTCACCTGTTCTTTTTCATGATGTGCTCAAAAGGCCTGAGGAAGTCCTTCTGGAAGCGGAAGTTGGCCAGCTCTCCTTTCTCTAAGAACTTCATGGACAGCTGCCTCAGTGAGTCCACGGCAAAGATGGCCACATCCTCGTTGGGGTTACAGCCCACCTAGAGGAAGACAACAGGCATCAGCAGAGCTCAGCTATGCATCAAATTGAAATCTCTATATATATATATAATATCTATTTCTGTGTATGTACATTGAGAACAACTTAAGTCAAGTCAAACTCTTTGTCAATCTGCCCGATAAAATTGATTCTGACTTAGAAATACTGAGTAGCTTTAAGTCTGCTAAACAGCACTGTCTGACTAAAAACAAATTATATTTAGACTGACACTGCGGAGTGTGGGGTACTTGAACTTGTGTGTACAGTCTGAAGAACAAAACATGCCCCACTTGTACCGTAAATACACACTAATGTCTGGCCTGCCACTGCGCACACAGCCTGTGTGACGTAATTAAAGAGCCTTCTTGTGTCTGTGTAGCGGTAATAAATCTGAGTCCTCAAAGGGGTAATACAGGACAAAACAAAGCAGCAGGGAGTACCACCAAAAGAACATCCCGTTGCTGCCTCCCATACTTCCCTCACTAAAACACAAGGCGCTAACATTTGGTTTAAGATTTTCAGGCAATACATTTTTTAAAACTCAAAGCTTGTAAATCCACTGACCTTATTGAAGTGGTCTCCTATGACCTGCCAAATTCGAGACCACTGCAGCCTGATGCGGTTCATGTTGTAGTAAGAGATTTCCACAATCTTTTGCAAGCTGAACATCCTCGGCTGGTGCGCCGAGGCTAGCTCGTCCATGGACACTGCGCACAGCCACCGCACAAAGTCCACTGGAAACAATTAAACAGCAACACACGATGAAGAACTTGTAACACGCACAAACAGAGATACTGTACATAAGGGCTTAGACACACTCACCAATTGCATTTCCATCTAGTCTGGTGGAACCAGTGAAGATTCTGCAAATTTAAAAGTAGCTTTGTTATTTGTAGGGAACAGAAACCTTAATTCTTCATAAAAGGACAGATACAGATCATGCAGTTATGTTAGTAATGTCCTCTATCTGAGCACTTTGTCTTACCTGTCCACAGCTACCACCACACTCTGAGAGCTGGTCTCTCCTACTGACTCCTGGATGTGAGCCATCTGTCTCTTGTCCTGACTTCCCACCAGGTTACCTGCAACACCAACACATTCAACACAAGCAAATGCATACAGTCAGGCATCATCATCATCGTTTTGATGGGAATCCTCAAGATAGAGACAAATGTAGCGGAGAGTTAAGGGTTAAACTGTGAATATAAGTTAAATTGTGTGTATGTGTGTGTCTTACCCAGCCCCAGGGGCATGAACTCCTCTGTGCCGGAGGGTAAGCCCTTGATGCCGGCCTCTTTGTCCCGGACAACCCCTGAGATGTAGCGCGTCTTCACCCCTGTGCCGATCAACTGGGCGAGCTCCAGCTGACTGATGCACCTCAAGATCTACAAAACACACACACACACACACACACACACATATCACAAAAAACATCTAGGGCCTGTCCATTTAGTTATGGATAGCTGTGGTGAGCTCAGATCAGTTTCAATCCAGTTTACATTAAAACTGTGAAATTAGCAGTCTTCCTTAAAATTAAATGTTTAGCCATTTTCTTTGTCAATATTCAGTGATTTGAATGCAGAAAATTGCAACTTGTACATTTTAGGTTATATATGCAAAAATATAACTCAAAATATAAAATAAATCTACAAAATAAATAAAACTCTTAAATCTCAATCATATTTATCAATAATCCATTTGCAATAGACTGCAAGTAAACGCTTGTGCAGCTTAAACTATAAATATATATACACAAATGAAAATAGTAGATCATTTTTTCCAATTGCATCTTGCATGTACTGCAAGTTCCAGCAAAACATGGAATTTATCTCATTCACTGTCCACTCCACCTTTAAACTACACGTGTCAACCTGTGTGCCCTGACATTTGGGTCACGTCACCATGTGTGGGGACATACCCTGTGACAATATGAACATCTCTCTCAAGTAGAGCTCCACTATCTGTAATTTGAAATGATGAACGATAATTTATTCCATAGCTTTGTAGTGAGGGGTGTGGGAATGAATGAATTTGTACATTATTCCAGAAGCTCTAAGTTTGATTTATTATTGGTGAAATTGTTGGTTTTGATGGACCCAAATCATCACTGTTGTAAAGCTGTCGCTTTAAAGTTACTAACTAACTGCATGGGACCAACATGTTTCTTAAACACTTTAAATTAAAACTGAGCATTACTACCTCTGTGCAGGAGGATTTATTGCAGGACTGCTGCATTAGACTGCATTCCTTTTTTCTTGGGGTCCATAACAAACTGGCAGTCATCAGACAAGATTCAATGAATTCAATAACATTTCTTCTCTTTCTGATGCTGATAAATCTTATTAGTAGGGAGTCACCTCATGCCAGGAGTTGCCCAGGTAGTTTCCGTCAGTGTGGGCTACAGTGATCAGGGTCTTGATGGTGTCAATGTTCTTCTGCTTCATCTCTGTGATGCTGGAACTGGCCGTCAGCAGGGTGAACCTGGCCAAGGCTTGGACATACGCATCTCGCTCCAGCTACAGACAGGAAGGCCGGTTACGACACAGTCACACTTTCAGGCTGAAGATCATGATCAACACTGTTTACAGCTGCTTACAGTTATAAATATTAGACTTTTGTGTGTAAAAGATCACCAGACCTGCATGTTGAAGATGCAGGCGATCCTGATGGCACACCGAATGCCCTCCAGACACAGCGAGGCCACCTCTGGGTCGTCACAGTCCTGCAGTCCCACACTGAATGCTGCCAGCAAGGGGGTCCATGCCAGCTGCAACACACACAAATTACTGGCAGGTGTACATTTCATTGGGTACAAGACACCTTACACCGTTCAAAGCTCTGGTACAATCTAATCGGGAATGTAAAGTAAGACAAGAGTACAAACCTTGAACATGGGCCTGACATGCTCCAGGTGTGTAGCACTAAAAAAGGGCGCCTGGGCGTGGCTGACGGCCTCCATCAGAGCTTTAGCGGTCTTCGCCATCTGCTCCATCTCCATGTTGTACAGCAGACGACGCTGCTTCTCACTGGCTACACCTGGAGGGGGGAGGATAAAAATGTTTCTGATGTTTTTCAGCAAACAGTGAACAATGTCAGGGAGCAGCTGAGGACGCCACAGCGACACTAGTCTGTCATGTGTGACGTACTGAGCAAACCTCAGAGAAAACAGTTACTCATTGAGTAATCCTGACAGAATGTGTTATGAAAGTGCTCACTCTGCTTGGTGGACTTAGGAGTGATTGAGAACTCTTTGCTCTCCTTCATGGCAATCTTCTTCCCTGCGATCTCGTCATATATGGAGGATAGATACTCTTCAGGCAGGTCCTTACTGTCGTTAATACCACGATTCATCTTGATGTACTGCTCCTTTGTCATCTTGTTCTTCACCTACATGAATGAAAAAGATCAAGAGAGGAAGTTGCAGTGATCAATTACAAAGGGAGGAAATTGGGAGTGTGAGAATGGTCAGGCTATTTATGCATTGTATGTGTCTGCATTCACAAACACAAATAAGCTGTCCAATGTGTTACCATAATCAGTCACTACGCCTGCTGCAACCTTCGCAAGATTTTGGCACTGCAATTTTTCGGTTTAGTACAGTCGGGTATTTACTGAACTGCAGACATAAATTAACCCCAGTTCATGTGATTTGCTGTTTTGAGTCCACATGTTTGGAAAGCAGTGAAGCCAAAAGAAAGTGTTTTCTGAAACTGAATTTTCAATATTGGTTAAAGAGCGGACACCTTTGGAGCTGCAAGTGTTTGTTCATCCCACAAGGTGAGAAAAGTTAAACAGTCTGATATTGTCAGCTCAGCAAAAACATCAGTCATTCTTGAAGGTATGAAAATGAATGTGGGTGATATTATGTAAAAGCTTTAAAATCCTTTGACTAGACTTCTTTATACATAATTATATTAAACTGTTTAGTAAGTATAACATGCTGTCAGATCACACTTGTGTGGATCTGTTATGAGCTGCTAAAAGTCATTTAAAAAATATTCAAGCGGAAAACCAAAGAGGGAAACAGGAAGGTAAAATTGAAACAGACTGTTGCTGGAGCTCTATGGAATATACAGCGTCTTTCAATTTACTTCTCCTTACTGCTGTCAATAAAATGTCACTGTTTAACATTGTCTCATTGTCTCTCTTTATTGCTCTCTCTTTCTCTGTGACAGAGCGCCATATTTTACACCTGCTTTTCCCAGACTTTAAATTTCAGCTGCAATTTCCTCTGTCACTGTGGTCTGTCAGCAGTGATAAATCAGAGGCAGCAGCTTTTTGTAGAAGGCAGTGTTGGGACAGACACAGGCCTGCGCAGCCCCCTCATTCATGTGAATGAGTCCACTGCATTGGCACAGCGGGGTGCCAACGCGAAGGACTTTGAAACGCCAGCAAAAAAGTTGAAGCTAATTTGACTTTTGCCAGAATGAAACAATGTCATCCGATCTAGTCTAGTGGTCATATCGTCACATTTTAAGCTAAACTAATGACTGATGTAAATTAGCTAGTTAGCTTTGCTAACATTAACTTTCAGATTAAACAAGCTAACTAAAATTGATACAGATAAACTTGCCAATGAGCTAGCATTTTGCTAACAATAGCTAGCGTAAGATGTGAATATGTCTTATTTTTATTTTTTAACCATCTTCAAAATGTGGTTGTCTTTTCAACATAGACGATATAGCATAGCACAGAGCAGGGAAGAGGAAAGTTGACTGAGGTTCTGACCGAGGCTTGCTCAACTGTTATTGGAGCACAGAACAAAAAGGGGCAAGAGTTATGAAG